CCTTATCTTCTTATCTATCCTATTCTGCCGTTGGTCGGAATCTCTGTCACAAGGCCAGGGGATTCAAAATAAAAACAGGCTCTTCTATAAACTCAGATAAATTACTGAGATATTTTCCCGATATATGGCGATGCACTTTTTGCACTTTTGTGGGTCATCCTGACCCAGTTGTGTCCGGAAAAATGATGTTTCAGTGCTACCTTCGCCGCCCGTTCGTGCAGTGGTGGAGAATTTGCACAATATGACTAATAGATTTTTCTGAGGGCAAGTTAAACTTCACAAATGATGACTATAGCGCATAAGTAAGTTGAGATTTTATATTAACTTATTGCTTACTTTCTCATCATTTCACATAAAATCAATTTTAAATCTTGAATTCCTACTTCATTATTACGGGAAAAGTTCGCACGCGAATTGAAGCCAAATCGGTCGAAGATTCGCTTCCCTTTTTTCCTGTGTTTTCAAGTGTTATTGAAAATGTATAGAAAATCAGAGGAATAATGAAAATTATGTTTGGAATTTTTATAATAAAGTTTTATTTTTATTTTTAATAAAGTTTTATTTTGAGCATTTCAAGAGAAAGTGTCGAGCGTCAGGGCATTGGTATGCGCAGCTGTCTGGGGTTTCATCAACTACAAGGCACTTTTGTTAGTTTTCCAATTAAGAAAGTTTTATAATTATAATTAAATTCTGTTGTCTCCCCAGTGAAACTTGAGAGTCCGGGGCACGATCGCCGGAGAAATATGCGATTGCGGCCCGATATCCTGCAAACTTTAGAGCTTCTAAAGTTATTCTAATTTCTTTTTATTTATTTGGCTGGTAATTCTTTTAAAATACTTTCTCTTTTTTTAAATTACCAATTTTACGTTATTACTGGGCACAGACATTAATCTAAGAAATTAATTTTTAGCATCCGCCTAGTGAGGAAATACATTGTTGCCTCATCTGTTTTTTTATTTTTTTTGAAGTTATTATATAGATTTTAAAAGTTTTACTCAAAAACATGTTCCTTAAAAAGGTGATCATCAGCTTGATATAAAGAAATAATAAAATTTGTGACTTGAATCTCATAATTTTTGAATTTTTTATAATTTTCACTGTGAACAAAATCATTCGCGCGAAATTGGTAAACAATTTGTTGTTGTGCGCAGCTGGATATTTATGGAACTCATTATATTCCAATTTGCAAGGAATCGAATTTGAATCAAATCAGATTCCTTGCAAATTGGAATTTAATGCATTCTCTGGTCATTATTCGTACGTGTTTCAATAAGAAAATTCTGCCATCTAATGCTAATTTATGGAATTTTGAACGAACGTCGGTGACTTTTTCCATAAATTCTGTGACTCGTTTTTGAAAAAAAACGTCGTTTTTTTAACAAACAAACATCGTTTTTTTGAACAAACAAACATCGTTTTTTAAACAAACAAACTTTGTTTTTTGAACAAACAAACGTCATTTTTTGAACAAACGTCGGTGTCGTTTCATTCGAGTTTCTTTCGTTGTAACGCCCAAATATCTTTGATTCTTTGCCATGGAATGATTTATTTTACTCTTGTCTGCCGCTTTTAAAAAATCTCACGGAGAAGATTTTTCATTTTCTCCTGCCGCACATGTAATTCATGTACAGAACTAATTCCGCGCACAATTTCGCGTAAATTTAATTTTAATGCTTCATTTAAATCCTCCATTCACTGTAGGATCTCGCATCGCTGACGTAAACACTAAGTCCTGTAAATAATAATCGTTAACCTGGAGACTAGAATCCATCCTCATCGTTTGAAATCAAGCATCGATTTCACGTTGGCTCTAACCTCCTGAAATATTTAGGATTCCTTACGGGGTCTTTCCTTTAAATTACCTTATAAACATATCAAATAAAATATATACATATTTTAAATTACTTTACGTTAAGTTCCCAAAAATTATTGTTATGCATGAAAACTTTATCTAAATTCACCGTATATCCTATTGAGATTTGCACAGCACATACGATATGTTTCCCTTTGCACAGCCTATGTCTCTGGTCTGCACCGAACCTGCTCTGCACAATAGCGGCGCACGCACAAAAATTTTATTTGTAAACACGATTAAAAATGTTTACTGGCCTATATCTTGGTGGATTTTCGTGTTACCTGAATGGACACTTGTGTTGTCTATGTAAATATATGTGCTCGAGCTCGTAATTAGTGTGTTGCCTCACTTTTCACACACTAGCCTCACTCTCGGTAATTAACTTTCCTCCTCAACTCTTCAATGCGTACAAATTATTTAAAAAAATTGTCTAGATGTTTTATGCAGAAAATTATTTAAAATCAATATGTTTTCAACGGACTCGTAAATACCTCTCATCTATATGATATTCTGTGCAGGCTACAAGAACTTCATATGATGATTCAAGTTCTAGGTTGATAATAATAATCCCTATTGTCGCTTTTACATGCTGTTAACAGTAACACATTTTCGTTTGTTGAAATCCGAGATAAGTTTCAACATTAACACATTTTCGATTGTTGAAATCCGAGATAAGTTCAACGAGTCTCTGTAACTTTCAAAACGAAATATTATTTAAATATCACATTCATAAATACATTAACGCTGATTTGGTTTATTGTATTTTTTTAAATAATGAATTTTTATGCAAACACAACAAACATGACATTTATGTTTTAGTTTTGTCATTGTTAGAAGTCCCATGCAATTGATAAGGTAAACGCTGCAATAAAATAGAATTTATTTCATGTATTCCAATGGAGCGTTGCAATTATTTCTTTTGAGTGTTGCTTTTTGTTTCAGCAATTGTGAAAAATATTGGATTTAAAAATGAAATTTCATCCAAGATTCATCAAATAACTTTCGTCGTTAATGAGCAACTTGGGAGCCAGAGTTATGGTTTCTTCTCGTTAATTGTGCTGTAGCGTTGAGCCTATATTTTATAATAGTTATTTTCAAATTCTTCAATGTTTATTTGGCGCATAATAAAGCCTTTACTCCTCCGCCATTATCTTGGTCGGCTAACGGGCGGTGCCCATAGTACCGAAATGTCTATACCAGTAATCTGTTCAAAATTTAACGACACTTAGCATGTTTATTTTATCATTGAAGGTGGAAGTGGCTTAACAATATGTCAACAATATGTTCTCTGCTGTTGCATGTGCTCCGAAAATTTTGTACAACGATGACTGATGAAAACCACCACGCGGTGACTGATGGAAATACACCTTATAAAATAATTGTTCAATAACTTGTTGATCTAAGTAAAGTAAAGATATAAGTTTGTACTGAATTTATATTTTTAACAGTTTAAATATTTATCGCGTCATCCTTTGGCTTGCACCCAGTTCCCAATTTAAACACTAAATGAAGAAATATGGTATCAGATAATGATTTTTTTTGCTATTTCAGAATTTCACGATGCACCTGCAAATGCTCTTATTGATGACAACAATGATTTTTTAATGAGCTTTTATCTCGTAACTTTGACTCCTGTAGAGAGTGTCTCGAATTTATAATTTTCCGCGTTAAAAAAATCCCCGGACCCACTCTTGTCTCATTAACAATTCGATTTATAACTCGAATTCCATAGTTTATTTTTATAAATGTAAAACATCATATAATATAATACAACTGTAAACTAATTCAAATCTTATTCCAAGCAGCGGTTCATACTTTTATTCTTTTACTATCTCGACTGAGGCTTCCTTCTTTTTTTCGTGTCCTCAGTGTGGCCAGACGAAAATGTGGCCAAAAATGTGAGGCAAAAACCTTTAAATAAATTTCAGCTCCTCAAAAGAGGCCTTAGGCGCTGAAGACGATGATTCAGCTTGGAGCGAGCACTTTGGGCGTTCAAAATATTTAATGCATTTCTTCTTGTTAAATCTCCACTTAGGTTCACTCGAAAAAATACAGAACTGCGGATTTGAAATTGCTGGAAAATGCTCTTTACGTCCGTTTTAAATTTAAGCATCACGCTTTCATAAAATGAGTTATAAAAACAACTTATTCAACTTGAGGACTACCATATTACTTTAAAAACTTCCATTTGGATTCATGCCAGTTTTTTAATTCATTCCAGCCAACACGTACACCATGAAATGTTATTTCCGAACCTTTTAACCTTCTAATCATTAATCTGATATTCTAAAATTCACTTTCACGACGCATTAAAATGCCTCGATACGAGGTATTTCAAAATTGAATGCCTCGACGTCGATAAAATGCCTCACAGTTAATTTCCTTGCTATAACTCGAGTAAATTAGTGCCCTCGCCTTTTTATTTCTACAGATGCCGTTAAAGCAAGCTCGCTGTACTATTAAAGCTATCAAGCATCAGAACATATTTATTTTGATTGATTTTTTGACTCCAGCAATCGCATGTTTTTTCCCTTCCCTAATACAAGAACAATTTCGTTGATGTTCTTAACAATTTTTACTTTAGTAGAATTCCACCCTGAAGAAAAGTGTAAAATTGCAATTACTCCGCAGGCGATTAAACATGCTATTTTTCTCGTTCGTATGCTTTTAAATTAATATTTTCTTTGGTATTAAACCTTGTACAAACCGCATTAATGAATTGGCTTTAAAAACACCCAAACAGTCTCGCTCTTATGCCTTTAAATATATGTATTTTTTCTTTGGTACCAAGCCTTGTACAAGCCACAATAATGAATTGGCTTTACAAACAACCAAACAGTTTCGTTCGTGGATGCTGGTAAATGTATATTTTCTTTAGTATCCCACACTGACTGCAAAACTTCAAAACTAAAATGGCTTTTCAGGCACCCAAACAGTTCGTTCGTATGCTTTTAAATGTATTTTTTCTTTTGCACCAAGCCTTGTACAAGCCACAATAATGAATTGACTTTCCAAACACCCAAAAAGTTACGTTCTTATGCTTTTAAGTGCATTTTTTCTTTGGTGTTCCACCCTGGGAAAAGCAAATTAAGTGTTTTTACTAGGTTTAAATTGAATAATGTTGAATAAGAATATGGGTTCACAGGCGCACAACAACCCTGCGACGAACTGGAGCGAAGACCTGTTGCGACGGCTGCGGCTGCCTAACCTCATGTCGCAGGAGGTGCCCAACAAGCCCCTCGACTACTTCACCTGCGCCTTCAAGAAGAGCAAGATCGACCGGTGAGGCCTGGTTTTTAGCCTAAAACACTGCCGAAAATGACCAAAAAACACCTCGAAAAACTACCATAAAATAATGCTTGAAAAATGATCATAAAACACTGTTCGAAAAATGCCCATAAAACACTGTTCGAAAAATGACCTTGAAACACTTTGAAATATGATAAAAAAACACTGCTCGAAAAATGATCATAAAACACTGCTCGAAAAATGATCATAAAACACTGTTCAAAAAATTACCATTAAACATTGTTCGAAAAATGAACACTTCGAAAAATGACCGTAAAACACTTTGAAAAATTACCATAAAACACTGCTCGAAATATGACAGTAAAACACTTTGAAAAATGGCCACAAAACACCGTTCGAAAAATGACCATAAAACGATCTTATGCCGGCATTCCAGTGATCGGCCGGCATGTGAAAAAATAACACCCCGTGTCGCCTTTTTTTCAAATTAACAGTAAATACTTGTACTGCATTTGAAAAAAACTGCGAAACCGTTTATTTTTACGGGGAGGCCGGTCACTAGAACGTTGTCAGACTGTTTTTGCACATTTATTTCTAACAGTGATATAGCTCTTCATTGACGAATGCTATTGTTGTAACGAACTCCTTATTTGTGACGAACTAATTAGTGGTGAACTCTCTATAGTAACGAACGGTTTACAATGCTTGAACTATCATCTCTTTATATAGTGAGATATATAAAGAGATATGTTTATTATATATATATATATTTTTATCCAACAATCCAAGTTTGTTTGCAGTAGTATTTATTCTTTAAGGTGCCTGTACACAGGGATAGTACTAGCCTAATAATGTTATATATATATAACATTATTCTTTTTGAGCTGGTAAACATGATGTAGTTAATCTGCAATAATACCCAGATTCGTAATCTACACCCCAAAAAACATATAATTAAAAAAAAAACACCCTTTTTTTTGGATGTAGTTAATCTGCAATAATACCATATAGTGATTAAGTGGTTTCGATGCTTGCACTGTAAGCTCTTTATTAACTACTTTTCACAGAATTTTATGCTGTTATTTATGCTTTTTTTATGCTGTTATTTATAGTTTTTAAATGGGAAACTTTGATTTCGCTTTGGATCGTAATCAATACCTGTGACCAGAAGCGTTTCTTTGAAAATCTCATTTGACGGGTATAAAACTGAAGAATTTTTAGATCCCGTTTTGATAGATTTTGACGTCAGCAATATCAACTTCTGAACTTGGGACTTGCAGAGTAGTTATTTGAAGCATTGTACAATGTATAATATAGACTCAACGGATGAACAGTATAGTCAGCCTAAATATACCTCTAAAAACAACATCTGCACGCGTGTTAATAAGATATATACTTGTCATAGATATGAGTTTTGAGCTGGTAAACATGGCTCATACATGTTAAATCGCTGTAACTCTAATTACCACTAATTTTTATAGCGACATATAAGTAGCCCAAACTCCATCCAACTTAATAATCATTTACTTGGATACCAGGATCGTGCATTAAATCCTAATTAAGCTGTGATATATGCGGTCTGTAAGTCTATACTACGTGAGGGCAAGATTAGATAGACAATATATCTCCTTTATCTCAGGCATCACTTTCGTATCTTCCTTATCGGGCATCACTGTCGTGCGAATCTGTCACAGTCTCACCCATGCAGCGTAAAATAAATATGATTTCAGAGTACCCGTGCCACAAGGCTTTCATGTGATAACATTATTCTTTTCTGCCGGTAATACTGCAGTCTCCATGCCCACCTATACATTATTGCAGTGCAGCCTACTGGCCTCCACCTCATCCTAACCTCTTCCACATCCCACTTATACCTAAACTACCGTATTAACTCTCAAATCCCACACCCTCATATATCTACACACCCCATGTCTCCCACACCAACACACCCATACCCACACCACCAACTACAGGATAACCGTGCATCCTAACCCACACTACCACCCATACCCACACACCCCATACCCACACTCCCACCCATATACCCACACTCCCACCCTAACCCACACTACCACCCATACCCATACTACCACCCATATACCCACACTCCCACCCATACCCACACTCTCACCCATACCCACACACCCCTACCCACAAATACCCACCATATCTACCCACTCAAATCCACATATCCGTGCCCAGGTTCCTAGGTTCTGGTCACGAGGCTACGTACTTCAGCAACACGCAGCGCTCGCGCATCGTCTACGAGATCCTTTCTACGGCCGCGTTCGGCAAGCGCAAGAAGGGAGAGATCGGCGTCGACAGGCTGGTTGAAGAGGGGGTGTATTCCGCTGCGTACCCTCTGCACGATGTGAGGGCGGGAGGGGTGTGTGGTGTGAGGGGTGTGTGGTGTGAGGGGTGTGTGGTGTGAGGGGTGTTAGGTGTGAGGGGTGTGTGGTGTGAGGGGTGTGTGGTGTGAGGGGTGTGTGGTGTGAGGGGTGTTAGGTGTGAGGGGTGTTAGGTGTGAGGGGTGTTAGGTGTGAGGGGTGTTAGGTGTGAGGGGTGTGTGGAGGGTGTGTGGTGTGAGGGGTGTTAGGTGTGAGGGGTGTTAGTTGTGAGGGGTGTTAGGTGTGAGGGGTGTTAGGTGTGAGGGGTGTGTGGTGTGAGGGGTGTGTGGTGTGAGGGGTGTTAGGTGTGAGGGGTGTTAGGTGTGAGGGGTGTGTGGTGTGAGGGGTGTATGGTGTGAGGGGTGTTAGGTGTGAGGGGTGTTATTAGGTGTGAGGGGTGTTTGGTGTGAAAATGTTTGGCGTGAAGGTGTTTGGTGGTCTTCACAAAAAACTTCCTGAGCCACGAGAGGTACGTGGTGTGAGGGGTGCATGATTTTGGTTATGAGGAATAGATGATGAGGTGATGTAAATGATGTGTGATGTCAGGGGTGTGTAATTTTAGAGATGTGTACCCTGCATAATGTGTTGTAAGTATGTATGTATCCATCATTTACGATGTATAGAAAAATTCTATTCTAATTTGATACCAACTTAGGAAGATTGAATCAGTAGGAAATAGTTTCACGAAGATAACGGGTTCTACGGCGCTCCTCAGATGAAACGTTTCCTGTATTGCTTTCATTTCCATCACTGTGTTTTCGTGTTCTTGCAGTTTATATTTGACTCATAAATATACAACGATATTAAATAAATATACGATGATATTATATATAAATAACGAAAATAAAAATCCGAGAATATCCACGTTTCTGGAATTGGTCCAGATCTATGGATTTTGTAAATGAGGCTGTCAACTAAAGGAATCCATAAAACCGGAAATTACGATTCCAAAATCAACGACTTTCACAATTATTTTACACAAAAGCAAAATAATTTTACACATAAAGACACAATTATTTTACACTTAAGGATGCCTAATCAAGCTGCGACCGCCATCGTAATGCTTGTCCATACGTTGGCTCAATGCACATTCAATACCCGAAGTCACCTCCCGAAGCAATGCCGATATCTGGAATTTCGGAATAGCTGCTCAGCTCCCTGAACCTTGCAGGCTTATTTTATTGGCCAGTTGTTTGGACGCCCGTCTGGCGGCGCTGATTCAGCTCTGTTGATTAATAAGGGTGTCTGGAGTCTGATGCCGGCAACGCACGGTTGCAGCACTGTCTTATTGAAAGGATTTGGGTGCGTGATTGCTTTCTGTTCTCAAATAACAAGGATTTGGATGCGGGATTGCTTTCTGTTCTCGCATAACAAGGATTTGGGTGTGTGGTGGCTCTCTGTTCTCGCATAACAAGGATTTGGGTGTGTGGTGGCTCTCTGTTCTCAAATAAAAAGGATTAAGGTGGGTAATTGCTTAATGTTCTCACTGAACAAAGATTTTGGTGTGTGGTTGCTAAACGCGATGAAGGAACGTTATAGCGAATATAGTTTGTTGGTGCAGAGAGAAAAGCCGCGATATAATATAGAGGAATGTCTTGAAATTTCGAAAACCGTGGCTGTAAGAAAAACTTCGTAGGATCGTAAATAATCGAGAAGTGGATGTAAAGACGTGAATTAATGAGAAGGAAGACCAAAAACACAGTGAATATCTTTGTTATGAGACTCGTTCCAAGTTTCTTAAAGCCGTCTCAGTTATTCAACGTTCAACGTTTGCAAACGTGCTGAATAAAGAAACTTTTAAATTATTGAATTTCTGAAAAACTGTAAATCTCCTTCTAATGATCTTACCGTAGCATTCATCGATGTTTTATGTTTGAATGAAGTGTAAGACTGATGAACATGTTTGATATGTATGAATGAAAAGTATGTTTGCTATGTCTGAATAATAAGTATGAAGATAGGGAATGAACATGATGAACAACCTATATAGATGAGTAGTAGCAACTTAGCAACAAGTATGAATCTATAATAACATATTACTTTACTCTCCCTATCTTCCCATCAAGGGTACGTACGAACTGCCACTCAACTATGATTAACGTTATTAAAATGACCTACAAAAACAATTTAGACCAATATTAGCAACTTATATTACTCCCGAATAACATGTTACTTTATTCCCCACTCCTCCCCCAAGGGTACGTACGAACTTCCCCCGAATTTTGAGGACCCTCGCCTGCTGAATCCCCGCCAGGTGCTCTATCACTACTGGGCTCGGTGGGGGCGATGGTACAAGTACCAACCACTCGACCACATACGCGAGTACTTCGGCGAGAAGATCGGCATATACTTCGCCTGGCTCGGTGCGTGCGATGGTTAACCATTCCAGTATGTAATGGTTAGCCATTCCTGCGTGTGACGGTTAACCATTCCTGTATGTATAATGGTAAGCCATTCCTGCCGCACCCTGGCAAACGATGTTGAATCAACTTTAAAATGAACGTTTTCATTTGATTGAATTAACGTTGATTAAACGGTGTTTCAACGTCGTTTGCCTGGTGGATGAGTGGGATAGTTAGTCATTCCTGCGTTGGATAGCTAGCCATTAGTGCGTGCAGATGGTTAGCTACTCGTGTATATAACAATCCTGTTGATAATCCTGTATTAACACTGAGATGGAGTTAATGTAACATAAAAGATTCGTTAAATATGATTGTTGTAGAGACTAGTTTGGCAGCCGTGTTCAAAGGGACTAATTTTCGTATGATTCATTACTCTACGTTCGATTAAAGTAGTGTTAAGTCTCCAACTTGATCCACGTATTCGATGATGCGCATATCATTGCTTCGTATCATTTAATTTCTTCGATCATTCTATGATGTGTACACATACGGCATCGTATCATCGGCGTGCTTGAAATTCAAGCACTCCGATGATACGATGCCGTATCATCGGAGTCCTTGAAATTCAAGTTTTTTGTACCATAACTTAAATCTTCTCAATAATTCTTGTCGGTTGTCCATTGTTCATAGAGTGACATACTCATACTGGGTTGACTGAGCACGTCAATATTCATCTTTCAACCTATATTTCTCAGATATCATCAGCTGTTTAGTGATTCAACCTTTCTTTTCCGTCTTGATTTATACATCTGCTGCAGATGTCACTGCAGCAGCTATTGAGACTGACCCCGAGTGGCGAATATCAACAACTATTGTGGTGCATCGAATTTTATTTGCTATGTTCATACACATCCTCATGTATTTTAACACTCACAGTTCTCCACTACGTCAATACATCGACAATACATACAGTGAAAGTTGATTGTTCCTGATGATATATACACCAGTTTTGCGTAAACCCAGCAAGACTGTCTATGTCTCCTACTAAATTCAGAAAAATTAGTGAGTTTTTGTCCAAATAGGGATGCACTTTTTGGCCTTGTGGTAGCGTAGACTTTTTTCACTTAGCGGGTGTACCATCTTAACCAGGTTCCGCCACCAGGTTTCTACACGGGGTGGCTGTTGCCGGCAGCGGTGGTGGGGCTGTTGGTGTTCTTGTATGGTCTGTTCACTATAAACCTGAACACTCCAGCCATCGAGATCTGCGAGACGCGAGGTCGCTTCAAGATGTGTCCTCTGTGTGACGAAGAACTCGGGTGTGAACACTGGGATCTCAATGACATCTGTCCCTACGCCATGATATCCTACCTTTTCGACCACCCCGGCACCGTCTTCTATGCAATTTTTATCTCATTCTGGGGTGAGAAATGTTGAAAAATAAACCCGATAATAATAGTATAATGGGTCAGCTTTCATTAGGCCTGTTGGCCTCTCACCATTTCTTTAACCGCCTAGGCACCTTGCCCAATTCGACCTCCCTCAATTCGGCACCACCAATTCCAGCCGTGGCTCTTCCGGAATTGTACTCATTGTTCCTGCTGACTGTTCTTGCTGACTATTCCTGCTGACTGTTCTCACTAACTGAACAATATTCCAGAGGTTTTCTCATAGCTTTTGGGGTTTGGCACTTTACGTTCGCAACGGCGAAACCAATGATCTCTACCATTTCTCTATTACCAACACTTTGATCTCTACCATTCAAAACTCCACTTTTAACCTACTTGAATTTTGTCGAAAATATCTGGTGCTTTTTAGGCTATTTATTTTTTGAAGTGATCTTCAACGATTATAAATTCTTCTTTAACGGTTACCTGGATATTAGACACTAAATTCCTGCCACTAACTGATTGACTGTAGTCGTATTCTTATTGCGGCTGAGGTAGGTGTGATATGACCGTTAGTGCCAGATCGTGGATATGGATCTTTGGAAATAATTCGGCATCTGCCCCAGCGTTATACCTTAGATACCAGGTGTAGTGGTCATCAAAATACTTCGCCTGTCACGGGTCAACTTCATTCATTGCATTATGTCTTTTCCAAACCAGGTTGATTATACAGAATATCCTAGCCGATTGTGTCAGCGTTAGTTACTTTCCCTGAATAATTCAGTTTGTTGCGACACTTCTTTAGATCAAATGTATAATTCTTGGTGATTACGCTATGGTGATTATCTTCATCGTTGTGATTATCTTGCTGTTTCTGACGTTTTTAAAACTATACATCATAGCTAATATTATCGTATTTCACTCCTACGTTAAGTAGCCACTCCTAACCCGTGAAAACTGAGTTACGGCAGGACACTCATTATTTAGTTGATGCTCGCTTCCCCGCAACTATTAACTGCTCCCCTAATTCTAGCCGTTTCGTTTTTAAAATTGTACTCATTTTTCCCAATGACTCTTCCCCCGATTTCAGCGGTGTCGTTTCTAGAATTGTATTCATTGTTTCCAATGACGGTTCCCCCGGTTTCAGCGGTGTCGTTTCTGGAATTTTACTAATTTTTCCCAAATTCCCAATGACTGTTCCCGCCATTCCAGCGGTGTCGTTCCTGGAATACTGGAAGCGCAAGAGCGCCTCGCTGGCGCACCACTGGGACAGCCTGGACTTCCAGGAGGAGGAGGAGCGCCCGAGGCCCGAGTTCGCGGCCAAGGCCCCAACGCTGCAAAAGAACCCCATCACCGGGGTCCGGGAGCCCTCCTTCCCCAAGAGCATCCGCACCAAGAGGATTGTGGCGGGCGTGGGGCTCATCTTTATCATGGTAAGAGGGGCGTGGGGCACATCTTTATCATGGTAAGAGGGGCGTGGGGCTCATCTTTATCATGGTAAGAGGGGCCTGGGGCTCATCTTTATCACGGTAAGAGGGGCGTGGGGCTCACCTTTATCATGGTAAGAGGGGCGTGGGGCTCATCTTTATCATGGTAAGAGGGGCGTGGGGCTCATCTTTATCATGGTAAGAGGGGCGTGGGGCTCATCTTTATCACGGTAAGAGGGGCGTGGGGCTCATCTTTATCATGGTAAGAGGTGGGGCTCATCTTTATCATGGTAAGAGGGGCGTGGGGCTCATCTTTATCATGGTAAGAGGGGCGTGGGGCTCAGCTTTATCACGGTAAGAGGGGCGAAGGGTTCAGCCGATTCCCAAAAGATTACTGTGTCATCTCATGAGGGTTGATTGATTTTGATTTGCAGGTTGTTTATCTGGTATTTGAAGGCATTAAGTTATTTTACAAATGGAGTTTTCATTTTGGTGTCATAGTTGTTTTGTTAATCATAATATTCAATTATTGTTGATTATTTATCTCTGTTAGGCGAGTAGCACCCAAATGGATTGCTAGTGGGCTATGGAGTGGCCATTATGTTATTTATTATAAATAATTAAAACGTAACGTATCATATTCAGGCTTTGAACTTATACTGAGATAAGTAAATACGCCTTTGATTTAGGTTTTTGTTGTTTGTCTGCTCCCCAAATGATACTTGTTATCTTCATCGTGGTGATTATCTCCTCTGTTCACCAGATGTCACTGGTGATTATCTTCATCGTGGTTATCTTCATCGTGGTGATTATCTCCTCTGTTCACCAGATGTCACTGGTGATTATCTTCATCGTGGCTGTGATCATCTACCGAGTGCTCGTGTCCATTCCCTTGTTCCAGAACGAGGCACTGAGGTCACAGGTACGATATGTCATCCGTTATTTTTGAATCGATCACATTTAAATTTATTATTCTTGCTTTCGCCCTTTATTGGAAATTACTATTTGCTTCTTTTCCTTTGAGGGAAATTCCCATTGACTTAACCCCATTCAAGGCAACACATTTCGCTTTAAGGAAAACTATATTGCTTTAATTCTTCTAATTTCATTTTAAGGAAAACTGTATTGCTTTAATTCTTCTTATTTCCTTTTAAGGAAAACTCTAAAGCTTTAATTCCTTTAACTTTGCTTTAAGGAAAACTTTAAGGCTTCAATATTTAATTTTGCTTTAAGGAAAACTTTAAGGCTCCAACTCTTTTAATTTCGCTTAGGGGAAAAGTAAATATGAGTTAATATTCTTTTTTGATACACATGTATTAGACTAAAATGTTTCATAAATTTTGTATTGAATTGTATTTTATTATATGAATTTTTTACAGGCACAGGCCATCTCGTCGCTCTCAGGCGCCGTAGTGAACTTCATGATCATCATGAGCATGGGACGCGTGTACACCAAACTTGCGTACAGACTCACCAACTGGGGTGAGTGTACACCAAACTTGCGTACAGACTCACCAACTGGGGTGAGTGATGCCTAACTGGCGTACAGACTCACCAACTGGGGTGAGTGATGCCTAACTGGCGTACAGACTCACCAACTGGGGTGAGTGATGCCTAACTGGCGTATAAGTTCACGAATATCATGTAAGCTTTTCGCCAGGTTTTTGTTGAATATTTTTTCATTTGTGCTCCCTGTGAATTCTATTTTTTGTGTGCTGTCCTATGCACAGAAAATGTCGCATTGTGATAAGACTTCGCAAGATGCCATGCGTTAAAATTATTGTTCATCATGCTTCTTCATGCAAATATTTACTTCATTGACTCATGGTTTAGGTTATGTCATTTAATTTGGTAACAAAACAGACTTCAATTTAATTTTATACTCCAAATTGTCTCAGTCAATTTGACCACGGTAGTAAAAATTTCCTTTCAAATTGTAAGTTTTCTCTTTAAATTTACCCAAAAGCGATCACATCATTTCCTTCTGTGAATTTCATCAGGACTTTCATTTTTCCTCACCGAACACAGACGATCACTCCTTACTGTCAGTTTCCTATAAGAAATCAACTTTTCTCCAATCAGAGATGCATCGAACCTAGACGCTAACTTCTTACTGTCAGTTTCCTATAAGAAATCAACTTTTCTCCAATCAGAGATGCACCGAACACAGACGCTCACTTCTTACTGTCAGTTTCCTGTAATAAAGTAACTTTTCTCCAATCAGAGATGCACCGAATCCAGACGCTCACTTCTTACTGTCAGTTTCCTGTATAAGAAATAAACTTTTCTCAACCCAGAGATGCACCGAACCCAGACGGAGTTCGAGGACAACCTCACGTTCAAGGTGTTCATCTTCCAGTTCGTAAACTTCTACTCGTCGATATTCTACATCGCCTTCTGCAAGGGCCGCTTTGTCGGCTACCCTGGCCACTACAAACACATCCTCGGCCTCCGCAACGAAGATGTAAGCAAATATTTCAACGAATTTCAACGATATTCGAGACATTTTTTATATTAGGAAGGAAAATTTTTATTAGAATAAGATGTTAGTGTGTGCGTGGTAAGTTTGATGTGCTTAGTAAGGATGATTACCATTCACCATTTGGACTCAATTTGCGGACTGAGCGTCAAATGCGCTTAAATGAACATTAATGGCTATAATTAATAATAGAGCAAAGCCATGCTGAAAACGAGCATATTTCGAAAGAGATTTAACCAATGATGTGAAATTGATGTGTTAAAAAGAAATTTCCTTTATTCCCGTGTTCTTTTACATTGTAAATTCGAGGTCGCTAATGAAGAAACTGTATAGTTTGAGGGACTATCAAGAAGTTAGCGTTGCATTATATTGTATGTGGCGTTAAGTTTCCAACTGTTATTTACATTCATTTAAAGTTTTTGATCATACGTAAATGACCAAATTATCTCACTGATACCGATACTATCAATAATAAGCAACACATACCGAAACTATAAGCAAGCTCATATTTTTTCTGATACAAATAGTTTTTATAGGCTGTCTGCATACCGCCATTCATATATGTTCATTCTTTCCGTAATTTTACTGATTTCGTCTCGACATAAGACGGAGACAATGTTTAGAATTAAATTACCTTTGCTTACAGACAAGTAATTCTATAATTTATTGCTTCGTCGAAACAGTATAAAAGGTCTCATTATTTCACAAACCAATAATTTCTATTTGTCAAGAAAGTCAGAATTTTTATACCTCACTTTATCTTTCAATCAATTCATAATGTCCTCGTAAAGTCATATTTATATGGTAATATAATTCTCATCATAATCGGAGTGTACGATTGCTAATCAGTATTTATTTTTACATGGCATATGATGTGCAACAGCAAAAAGTCGGAATCATGTCAAAAATACAGTAATCCTTCAGTTATCTCATTTCCTACGTTTTATTACCTCGGCTGCGATAAGGTGAAATCCACGATGGGGAATTGATCGACTGATAGTATTTATTTAAGTATTTGTATTGCAACTGTCTGATATTTTACATTATTGTAATCTTAACAACCCCTTCCCACTTTCTTACTGTAGATCGAGTTCCGCGGAATGTTAAACCTGGAAAGATTTTCTCATTAATATTGGGTGAAAATCTTCAATGAAGTGAAATCCTCGTAGGTTAAGCGCGATATAGCGAGGGATCACTGATATCACTATTATGATATAAATTATTCACGATTCACTAGTAATGCAAATTGTTAGTTTACTGTTCTCAGTGCTATTAAATCACTATTATGATATAAATTGTTCACTATTCACGAGTAATGCAAATTGTTGGTTTACTGGTCGCAGTGCTATTAAATCACTATTATGATATAAATTATTCACTATTCACGAGTAATGCAAATTGTTGGTTTACTGGTCGCAGTGCTATTAAATCACTATTATGATATAAATTATTTGTTATTCGCGAGTAATGAATTGTTTGTTTACTGTTCGCAGTGCTATTAAATCACTATTATGATATAAATTATTCACTATTCACGAGTAATGCAAATTGTTTGTTTACTGCTCGCAGTGCTCGGCGGGCGGCTGTCTGATCGAGCTGGCGCAGCAGCTGGGAGTCATCATGATAGGCAAGCAGGTCGTCAACAACGCTCAGGAGATCCTGGTGCCTAAACTCAAGGCCTGGTGGCACAAGAAGAAGGTTCTTATTTTTTTTATCTTATCTCTATATTATTTTTTATCTTATTTTTTCTATTTTTATTTATTTATTTTATCTTATTTTTTATCTCTATTTTTTTTATTTTATTTTTTTAACTTAATTTTTTATTTGTTTTGTTTTATTTTTTTTTCTACATGAATCCTAATTATAATTTTTGCAATTTGAGTAAGGATATTTTTCTTAGTGACGTGGAATCGAAGTGTTCCGAATGCGATTGTTCCTCTACGATCTGCTTAGAAATTTCCGATTAATTTATTCATTTTTTTGCTAATACATTCACAAATTATACATATAATGAGGTTAAAATGTGTGCACAATCTTTAATTCATAACCCAATCACCATTGCTTTTTTGATTAAACCAACCAATTAATGATCCATGAACCAAGTTTACGATCCGCGAAAAAGTCACTATCGCAATCCACTACTCCTGTTGTAATTTCGAGTGATTGAGTTTTCTGAGTAGTGATAGGATTAATTTTTTGCTGGTTTTCTTTTCGATGGCTTCCATATGCTTTTGGTGGCATGTTGGTCTGTTTTCAGATGTTTTTTTTGTGTGACAATGTATTCGTAATTGGTCATTTCCTACGGCTTCAAAAGTATAATGAAGCTTGTCTTTAGATGTTTCTCGTAGTGTATTAATTTTTTATATACAGGTACATTTCCCTAGATTTGCATCTAAGGAATGGTTAACAATTCTATTGTGAAATTTCAAAAATGAAGATGGTAATCTTAGTTTAGAAACAAATAAACCATGAATGATATTTTGTTCTTTGTGGAATTGGACTTATTAAATTGCTCATGATTTTTCTCGTGAGGCCGTCCTATCATAAATAGTTACGAGTTCATAACTCCGTCAACCAATCACTGACATCTTTACAAGCTAAACCTACTAATCATAGACGAAAAAATATAACTCAGTACTCACTGCAGTGAGTGACAGAGAGCGCATTTTCTCGTCGACGAAAACGTGAAGTCACGGAGGGACAGACAGACGGACAGACAGACGGATGGACATGGCGAGCACAATAGTGCAATTTTTCCATAAATGAGAAAATGCGCTAAAAGCGACCGCAACGTATACTCAAACAAGTTTTTACGACCCCAGAACATTTAATCACTGCAACTACTAATTAACATTTAGTCATCGTTGAACAGCAGCACGTAATTGTTTAAGAGCTCAACATGCTGTGTGGCTTACAGGTTAACTTTATTGTTTAAGAGTTGAATGCTATGAAATACAATGCAGTGATGCCTTCAGCACCTGCTTGGCTTACAGGTTAACTTGATTGTTTATAGGAGTAGAATGCTATAAAATATAATACTTTGATGCCATTAGCTCCTGCTTGGCTTGCAGGTTAACTTGATTGTTTATAGGAGTAGAATGCTATAAAATATAATACTTTGATGTCATTAGCGCCTGCTTGGCTTGCAGGTTAACTTGAGCGGCAAGACCAGGTCCCCCTGGGAGGCAGACTACGCTCTCATCGACAACGAGGGCCTCTTCGAAGAGTACCTGGAAATGGGTGAGATTTTTCTTCCATTGTAACAAAATGATCATATTTTAAAATGAAAAATGATGATTAAAATTTTAATGACCGAAATGATCAAAATAGTAGAGAATACTATGAAATGTATTAGACAATGGTCTTTCTGTGAGACCTTATTAGGAAGAAGAATATATCCATATGGTGTTCGTAAATCAGATGCAGTTTTCATGTTTCCGTCATTCAATTTGGGTACTTTTCACAATTTTTTTCAATTCGTTCATTCAAACAATATTAACTCCTCTATGTTTGCGTTTTTATCCCCATTTCAAAATTAGTGAAAATCGGAGCGTTCTTCATGTTCACAAATTTTACATTAGAAGCGCTCCAATTCTCTTTTAAAAATTAGTTTATCAGTTTTCCTTGTTTTTAATCCCGTTAATTTTCAGTTTCTCATCCCGTACGATTCCATTCGATCACTATCCAACCTGATTATTAACATAACTTCCACTTCGTAGCTCCACATTGCATTGTAATCCTTTCCCACTTTCGCTACCTCATTATCATTAACTGTTGTTGCGATGGCAGTTTTGCAGTTCGGTTTCCTGACGATCTTCGTAGCGGCGTTCCCGCTGGCGCCGCTGTTCGCGCTGCTCAACAACTGGGTCGAGATCAGGCTCGACGCGCAGAAGTTTGTGTGCGAGACCCGACGGCCCGTAGCTGAACGTGCCCAGAATATTGGTATCTGGTTCACCATCCTTGACTTCATGGCTCATCTCGCCGTCATCAGTAATGTGAGTTCATCATCATCATGTTGTGCTCGATCAGAATATTGTTATCTGGTTCACCATCCTTGTCTTCATGGCGCATCTTGCTGTTATCAGTAATGTGAGTTCATCATCATGTTGTGCTCGATCAGAATTATTGGTATCTGGTTCACCATCCTTGACTTCATGGCGCATCTCGCCGTCATCAGTAATGTGAGTTCATCATCATGTTGTGCTCGATCTGAATATTGGTATCTGGTTCACCATCCTTGATTTCATGGCGGGTCTATTAATTCATGGCATCATTAATATATATATACTCAACTCTTTCATCTTGGTATTTTTCTAAAAGAAAAACAATAAGTAGAAATATTAGACTAGCAATTACTGAACACAGTTCCCTTCTCTGAACCAATATTCACATTACAGCCATGTTAACTTCAGTTTCGGGTGCTTCCTCGTCCTTTCTTTTTCGTTTTTTCCTGCATTTTGTCCTTATATTTTTCTTTTCGTTTCACTATTAGTTTTCTGTATCTCTCCCTATTTTTCTTCGCTTCCTTTTCGTTTTCGCTGCATTTCGCCTTATTTTTTTCGCTTTCATGTTTTTCTTTTCCTTTTCCCTGCATTTTCTCATAATTTTCTTGCCGTTTCTCATTCATTTTTTTCTGAATTTCCTACTTTTTTTGCTGAATTAGCATTTCCTTTTCATTTATTTATCTCGAGCGTGTGAAACGCTTATCAATCGATGTCAGGATATGGAGGCGGTAGCTTCGTCTCGAGCGCAGTTATCTCTAAATTAAACTGGTCATAAGACGAAGTCGTGTCTAAAGTCTTTCGTGTTCAGTCGTGTCTTAGTTCATTCATGTCAAGTCTCGACGTCACTCATTTTTGTAGTACAACTTACGTTGGAATCAAGGTCAAGGTAAACCTCGTCTAATTAATCTAGAACAATGGCATATTATCGCCGCCACTAGGCTGTCTGAGGGAGTTTTTGCCTTATAATTACAATATCAATAAACCACACACTTCTTATAGGCTTTGGCTCCAGAAAAAATACTATTGATTTCATGCTTTTAGTAATTAGTTCTAGTAATTATCCATGGCTTCATATAATTATTCATATGTCTGCATAATGATAAACGGATTAAACAACTAATATAGATGATCAATTTCAGCAATTCAGGTTCAAATAACATCAAAAGCATAATTTTTAATGATTATTACTATTTGAAGTATATTATTGTTAAAAATCATTTTATGTGGTAACGGTATAGCACCATGATTATGTTCGATTATCCATTACTATCACAACAAGACTATTCTTCCTTCATTCTTGTAAAACTTTAAAAATATTTCTCTTCATCAGTCTCCTTCTTCCATGATTTGAAATTTTTATCAATCTTGCGAGAGCGTGACTGCAAAAATGAAAGAAAATGAAATACACTAAACCGGAAATTCAACTACAAAACAAAGCTTCCGGTTTACATTCAATGGACAAACCTTCAATTGCCTCACGGATTTTTTTATCTTCTCACAGAATTCTTTGATTGACATTTGAATGTCGTGCGGAAGTCGTTCGATTAATCTATAACTTTACTTCAACAATTATTTATAATCACTCATTTCGAGTTCTAAATCAGCAGCAAAGCTCGGTCCCGCATTAATTTAACAGTCAACAAACTAAATCATGAATTTATTCAGATTTTGTGTTATTTACGACAATTTTTATTGATTTATTCTGTGTGGTGCAGGCATTTTTGATCGCGTTCACGTCGGAGTTCCTACCAAGGCTGCTGTACAAGTACGAGTACGACTGGTCCCTACGTGGCTACGTGAACTTCACCCTCGCAACCGCACCCAACGGCACTATGAGTCAACCATGCAGGTACGAATATCATTACTCTAGTTTAGTGAAATTTCATTGTTTTGTAGTTTGATTGTATTTTATTAATGACTGTACCGTGCAGGTAGGAATATCATTGTAATTCACGTTTGATTCATAGTTGAACAATGCAAGTATGATTATCCTTGTATTTTAGCCTTTGCTCGCTAGTTGAACAATGCAGGTAGGAATATCATTGTATTTTGCGTTTGCTTCATAATTGAACAATTCAGGTAGCAATATCATTGTATTTCAACAACATTCCAGAGCCTCGCAGCTTGTTAGCTTTGTGATGAAAAATGGCTTTCTTTTGGTGAAGAATCAATGATTGTTAAATATATATTTCCGGTTTTATATCCTCGAGCATTTATATATTAAAATTAATGGCAATATCTAGTGAACTTACTGGAACCCTGTAGATCTGGTTAAGAATAAATGCACTTCACCTGTTGATGGTGTGCTTTTTCTGTAAATTTATTTTCATTTATTCCAGTAAATAATCTAAATTGGAAGACCCTTTTGCATCGATGACGTCTTCTGTCCCCAGGTATCGTGGATACCGGGATCACGAAGGCCTCCACACGACCTTCTTCTGGCGCTTGCTGGCCATCAGACTCGGTTTCGTGATAGCTTTTGAGGTCAGTGCGAAATTCAGCCATTTGATGTATCACATTTTGCTAATATTTGAGCTTATGCACTGGACAAACTTACACGACATTCTTATCTGAAAATTTTTGAATGTGATTTCATTTTATACGAAAAGATACGAAAGTAAAACTGTGATTAATCAGAGAGTTGTGGATGTTGTCGTACAGCACGTGGTGTTCGGTGTGTGCCGCCTCATCGATGTGCTGGTGCCAGACGTACCGCAGAGCCTCGAGATCAAGATCAAGCGAGAGCGATACCTGGCCAAGCAGGCACTCGCTGACTCAGAGACCATTTTGAAGGTGAACAATTCGTAAAAATTCATCTAGATCCTCGTTAATTATTTTTAGTATTTTAATGAATCCTTCTTAGTCTTTTTTTAATGATTCTCATTTAATCTTCCTTTAAGAAAAGTATTTTAATGAATTTCGCTTTGTCTTTTTTTTAATATTTTAATGATTCTCGTTCAGCTTTTAAAAATTTTTTTACTAAGAATAAATCGATTGAATTAATTTATACCCACTATAATTGGGAAACATTAATTTAGTATTGTTTCATTCCTAAAGTCGGAGTGTGTCAGTTGAGTGAAACATACCAGACTTGAGTTAATGACCTGAACTGAAGCATTAATTATTATGTAAGACATTTTTAAATACATATTTACGTCAGTGTGACAGCTGAAAACAATGTGAAGCGGGTAATAGATGTATCGGATTTTCTAATTGACGTTTCTAAGCTGAAAAACTTTTAGTAATTTTAGCTGAACGACTTCCCTCCAATTTCAGCTGTATTAACCTTTCCCCAATTTAAACTGAAACTTAAGGAATGGGATATTTCACTACAAAGCATTTATACATAAAGCGGCGGTATAGATGATTTGAGATATAGTCCCCTTGAGGGAGAAAAACTTTTTTCCGGTGAAAAGTTGAAATATCTGCGCGCTAAGGCTTCATTTAAAAGGCTAAAAGGCTTCATTTCAGTAACAATAGACTTGGTTACAAGAGATAATTTTAAAATTACTAAAATAGTACAAGCGTATAGAAATATGGCATTTTGTCTTCTAGCACGGAGACGTTTCTATAATCATTGCAACGTTGGACATCATGGTCGTGTTGCGAAGTTTCATACGATTATGAAGAGGGAGAATAACTATGAATGAATTGGTTTGTTAGACCCAGAACTGCACATGGAGGTGATCGAACAGTACGGATAACAGGAGAACATTGAACGACCATCCTTTATGGTTGAACTTTGAGAGCTGAGTGGTTTCAGTTACTAGCTTGACCCGCTTGTCAACTTTGAAATGATTACGGAAACGTCTCTGTGTTTTCGTGATTAAACAGTCCGTTTGTTTTGTTTTACACGTTTTGTACTCAAATAAGCGATGCATTATTGACCATGTACGTCCTCTATGCTAGTATTGCTTACGAGCACATTTTCCCAGTGGATTGTAACTCCCTCTTTTTTTCTAACTCACGTGGCGTGTTCTGCCGAGTGTCATAAACCTATATTGTTGACTAATTATTTCATTTAGGTGCGGATTGTAATCAATGCTTGTACGTAGAATCAACTGATTTTGATCACTGCTCTCACAGAGGTTCTTGGAATAACATCAGTTTTCTTGGATGCTTCACTAATTCGCACATATCACTATGAAATTCTTCATTTGAGTTAATTCAAGTTATGAATTTTGGCCAAGCGCAGTACCTGTGTATGATAGTGATTGCAATTGATTATTAGTTGTTGGATTCACATATCAAAATGATAATCATGACCATGTGATCTTTTGTGATTTTTATCGTGATTTGGTATAATAATTTTTGCATAAAAATGATCGTGAATGCTGATTAATATTGTTTCATTAGAAAATTCGTGGTTAATAAATGCCAATTAAAATAACAAGTCAATAAATTAGTTTTTCTAATCGTATTTTTTCTACCTGAACTCAGCATATATGCCTTGTTTTCCGTTTGTCGTGGCATGTTGCTTAAGAAATTTTTTGTGTGTTTGCATCTTATGTTTTTGTGCATTATTTCCTTCTATTTCACAGTGTATTTTGAGGAATGCGCACGTGAGTATTGCATTTTGATCATGTTCACTTATCATTTATCACTATGTTGTTTTTGCATAGGTTAAAAATTGCGTTTGAAATGTTGTGTTTTGCTGGCAAGGTTAAGTAAGTAGTTTGTGTTGTTGGTGGATTCAGTTTTACATTTGCTTTTTATATTTTGGAAAAGTGTCGGGGATAATATAGAAAATTAACGAGAATTTTTCAATTGAATTTACGTCTGTTAAACGTTTGGGTTCACATTACACACTCTCATTGTAAATGTATTAGATGCGAGTGCCATTCAATTTAAATGATATCTCTAGTATATACAGCTTCAATTGTATATCGGGACTCATTTCAACATCTTTGAGAAAATTCATGCCTGTTCATTTGAGATTTGTTCATGACATAGCATTAAGATAGAAAAATTTTTAAGCTAGCGCGAAAAGAATAAATTGAATATTTACTTACTCGCTGAAAATCTTCTTGGGTAAAAAATCGTAATTTTTTAAATTTATCTTCCATCAAATCAAATTGAAACAAATCCGGTCGCGATTTAGAAAAGAAAAACATGAAAATAATGATCAGTCTTGATTTCCATTCTAATTAAAAAAATATAAATCGATTCTTTTTCTAAATTTTCGCTCTTCATGTGCACCGTAAATATTTTTGACAGCTTATTAATGTCTTATATTATGATTTCTATTTTGTATAGAATATGTTGAACTTTTTTATGAACGAGGGCAATTTTATTTTAAAGAACATTTTGCTTTGTTTGTGTACGAATATTTGTTTGACATTTTTTAGTAAAACATTTCCGTTATGGTTTTGTTTTGATTTTCATCATTCGTAGGCCTCAACTTTTCTTATTTTGTTTCTATAGAAATTCAGAAAATTTTTTTCTGTTCCTTGAAATAATGCATTGATGTCTTGAGATAGATCAGCGCTCGCTTTCCAAGATCATATTTGTAGTCAAAGGCTTTCATCCTCGTACGATGAATCAGTATTGAGTATTAGACTATTAGCAAGGCTATATCATAGGTATCTCATATTCACGGTCTGTAAGCGTTATCAAAGCTTTGAGCGATGCTACTTATATGAGCGAAAACATTGAATAATTTCACGGTGCAAAATATCCTTATTCAGATGTTGCCTGATGAATTGTATTATTGATGAATTATTGTACTAATTCATCGTATAATAGTTACCCTGGTCAGGACAAGCAATAGGTTTAAAACGAAATTATTCACGTGCAGGGTTTGATTTGTTTACTACAGTTCACTCTTCATGTTGAAATTATTATACTTTGTACTTTAATTTACCAACGTATAATATTGCAAACATCTATCGAATTGAGAATCCTACTACTAATTTGAAATATTTTTTGATTGAGAGGGGTTAATCCTTCACTAGGTTACACAAAGCATATCGTTAAAGATTGACAGGTTAATAAATTTGGTGACAATAAAAGATAATTAAAAGATTCATATGCACTTTCTTGAAGTTCTCTAAAATGAGAGTATTACACTGGGCTTTACGTAGATGATAGCCTATCGATAATGTTAAATGATCGCCCTCATTATCAGTGGGCAAATCAGTGTATATCAAACACTGCTCCCTCTCGATAAAGGCCACTTATCTTACGTCAATACTAATTATCGCCACTTATAATATTACATGTAGAATGCACTAATGTACAATCCACACAATTATGTGATCATCAATTATGTATTTCTGATTACTAGGCATGACAGCACAAGTGAGTGTCGAGGGGAGTGCGGAATCACGTCCCGAGCTCTGTTTATTTTTTGATTGTCAGCTTGAAAAAACTTGCCTTGTCATCTCTAGGCTTCGTCTATTTTTGATCATAATCGATAAAATTTTCAAATCACTTTTTCTTCTCTTTTAGGAAAATAAGGATAAGGCTGTCTAGACTGCACTTTTATGAAACTCTTTAAGGGGAGCGTCAACCCCAAAAATCATCTCGGCTATTTACAAACGGATCACTCTGAAACTTGGTACACATATGTAAAATGGAAAAAAACTCACATTTTGTTCCTGTGAATTTTTTCGAAAAAATTGAAAGAAAACGTGAAATTCATAGAAAACGGTCAAAAAAGGGGGTACTTTTCAAATCTATCTCCTCCTAGGATTTTAAAGCTACGACATCGAGACACATATCATTCGATGCGCAAAATCTTTATCTATAAAACGACCTAGCCGTTTTTTGAATTTCTAATTTTTGCGGGTGTGGGAGCATTTTTCGTAAAGTTTTCGGAAATTTTTCGATTTTACCCCTTTCCACCCCCCTTCTTCAGGAATAAAATCCAAACTATGACGAAATTGAAAAAACGGCTAGGTCGTTCTGTAGATCTATTCTTTGCGAATCGAATGGTATATGTCTCATTGTTGTAGCTTTAAAACTCTAGGAGGAGATAGGTTTTCCGTGACAATAAGTGTGAATGGTGAGGAGAGCGCGACAAAGTCCCGCGCGCACCACAATATGCGCTCAATGTAGCATAGATACCAAACTAAACGTTTCTGGAGCTTGATTCCACTCAAGGATGATGGGAGCAACTACATGCGCATCTCTCCCTACAAAGCCCGGAGGCACACTGAGTCAGACCTCACAAAAATACTATATTTGTAGTGGTGGACAGCGAATTATCTCATATCTAATTACTGAAAGAACTCCCCCCCCCACCCCCCTTTCATGAAGTGTCGTGTACGTAAAAATCGACGTACAGAGATGGTAATGGTACCGTTGGATAGGCCAGAATGTCAGCTTTAAGATGAGACTAAACACGTAACTGCAGCACAACTCAAGTAGACACTATATATAAAGAGCTCACCAGCTAATTAGTTCCTATCTAATAGTGAAATCATAAATCAACGTAGAGAGATGGCAGTGGTACCGTTGGATAGGGCAGAATGTCAGCTTTAAAATTAGTATGAAAACCGAAAAAGTAAAATTTTTCAATTTTAGGGTAGACGCTCCCCTTAAATTAATGCCTTCACTCAATGAACACTACCCTAACGCATAATTATTTTTCACAGAGTGATTTCCGATTCAAATCTGGAAAAGACATAATCAGACACATGAATTAAATAGGTCTAATTAAGAACCTTTTGAGAATAACGAAAGTTTAATTCACACTGCCGAACCTAAAGGAGCATAGGCAGAATATTATGTCTAAATCTTTTCAAGTGCCGTTTATATTCTTTCTTCTGTAGCTCTTTGACTTATTTGTCAGCTGAATTATTTACGTGAAATGAACAGTGGTTCAAATAAGTATAAAAATCAGCTCCGACCATTTCGAAAATTTTAGCTATTCTCGACAGTGCAATTAATTTAAACAATAAACTAAAATAATAATTAATACTTTTTCCTGGCCAAAATTAAAAGTATTTGTTTCCGTCTCGTTTATCGTACACGCTTAAAATTTTGTATTTTGTTCAGGAAATTTTGTTGATCAGGAAAGCTTAAAATTTTCAAGTATTTTTGTGTGCATTTATTTATTTGTTGATACAGAACTCTATTATTTCCTGTCAGTGCGACTCTGTGTTGCAGTTTTTTTGTTTTATGTCTAAATTCTCCAGTGATTCCACGACCCTTGCTCGGCAGGTGGCTCAGGGTGCCGTAGATGAGCCCTTTGATGGCACCTCAGGCAATCCCGGTGACGGTAAGAACGGTCTGGACCCGCTCATACCATCCTACCCGCAACTCTACACTCCGAATTCCTCCATAAAATACAAGAGCTCCCCCATGGCTAAAGAAAAAGAATCTCCTACGACGACCAAGGTTCAGAAACAAACGTCGTTGTACTCCATGCTGCTTAACGATGGCTCGACTGTAAACTGTGTGGTAAAAGAAGGAGAGCCTGACCATTCAGACTCAGATAAGCTCATGGAAGCTTCACCTGGAAAAGGAAGTGAATATGCCGGCTTTTCAAACCTTATGTTTCCTAACTGTTTCTCTCAGCAAAAACTTTCTGTATCTCCTTCCACTTCTATGAAAATGTACCATGATTCTTCTGTGAGTTCCTCGCTTAGCCACAATTTTATGTCCCCCTCTTCCGAGGCCAGTGGCAACTACCCCGGATTGGGAGCTCTGATGGGAACATTGAAAGGTCCCAATCCTCTCATGAAGGCAATTAGCTTAACTTCTTCCATACCTGAAATAATGGCATTTGAAGCTAGTCGTCATCTCCGTTCAGAAGATATTTCTAAAAACGAACCTTCTATAAGGAGTGGTCATGCTACCGAAGAAAATACGCGCCAGAAGTCTGCTTGTAGTAGTCGCAAATCTAGTTGTCTGTATCCCCGTTTGTCTGAAGAATCTCCACAGGAAAATCTCACAGATGCCCTAGAGCTTTCCAACTATTCTGAGAAAACTGCTGCATCACATCCAGCCAGATCCGCGAATAACCCTCACTCGGAAGCAAAATATGATGACGTGCTTACAGAAGATATTGAAAATGAAATCTTTAGAAATAGACCATATGGTCTTTCTGACGCGAGTTCGAAGCTCCCTGTAGTTGCTGAAGTAACCGCAGATCACGAAGTTGCCCAAAGATCTTCCGATAAAATCATGGAGGGTAACTCTGGCAGTCAAAGCCACCAGCAGAATATGCCTGATTCTTCAATACGGTGGGAGACATGCAACCCTCCTAAGCCGCCTCTCCGTACCTCACGTTCTGTGGATAAAGAACGCACCAAAGACTTATCGGCAACGAGACTCGGTCGGCGATGTACTATTGATGCACAATCTAATGAGAGTTGTTCTGAAACTTCTCGCCCAAAAGATTCCATAAATGCCTCAAACGCTTATGTTGGTTGTGAAGTTGTAGACAGCTTGGTCACAAAACGCCTTATAAACGATAATATTCCCGATAATCATGTTCCTGGCATCACTGAGACACAAGTTCGCCACAGCCACAATGTTAATCCTATTCCTCCGAAAGTACCTAAGAGAAAACTTAAGTATGCTTATAGTTTTGATGACGATTCGCCGAATACGGGAAACCGTGAAAGTCTACGTCACCCTCTTACAGAAGAGAAGATAAGCCCGGGTTATTTCGCTGGAACTTCACAGCAGCAGACAGAACATGAGAAAAATAGAGTATCTCAAGACGATATTTGTACCAAGTTTGTGACTGATAACCTCAATGAAGTTATTTACCCTACTAACGTAACAACCGCAACGACAACCGTGCCTGTACCTCCAAGAAGAATTCTACCAAGACTACCAAAAGTACCAACCCTGAATTCTTCCGTGTTGACGAATCCCTCTACTACGTCCACCAGTGCCATTTTACCAGTCCTTGATCATGAGTCGCCTGACATTGTCCAAGCACGGCTTCCACCTACTACAATGTCTAGTAAAGTCCCTGAAACCTTACTAGACAATCAACTTACTGGCAACCGAACTCAACGACCTTTGAGGAGAGTCAGTGCAGTCGCTCCTCCCCCTCCTCCTAGACTCAGTAAGACCATGTCCCAACACTGATTGTTTGGGTGTCTTTATCTATCGAAATTTTATCTATATAACTTCTCGGCTAGTTATTATTGTAGTTTTTCCTCGTATCTCCCAGGAGAAATCTTTTACGGCCTTCTGTCAAGTAAGTAGAATAGACGGCAGGAATGTTTGATCTATTACAGGGTCAACTCTTTCCCTCAACTATGACTGCATGAAACGCAGTGGAATATTTTTAATGTTGCGAGTGAAAAATTGTTTCCGGTTTCTCATAATTCTTGTTCGCATCATAAAAATACATGAAAACGATGTTCGCATTTTAATTAAATAACTTCATTCTAATGTCCCAAAAGTTTGGTAATTGCTTTTGAATTCATATTATTCTTAAATTTACACCAGACCTATCTTCCGTACCAGAAATAAAATTGTTAAATCCTTAATTTTGATTCAAGCATTAAGGATTTTTAAATCGTATTTTTTATTATACTATATTTCCCAGTTGTTCGAAGGTTTGCTCAGTATTTAAACCGCATTTGTTATCGTTCAGCAAGTCGGACGTTCCCACGATGTTTTAAACCGCATAGTTTGTTATAGAAGTGAACAAAGTTTTTCAATTGTGTGAATTTTGCTTGTGTTAGGGTTTTGGTGACCGATGTTAAGCCAAACATATTAATCCGTGTATCTACGATACTTAGCTTCGCACGCATAGTCTCCAGAATTTAAGAATTGTAAATGTAGTGAATTTCTTACGATGAAAGAGCTTCTTCATATCAATTCTATTCTGAATATCAAGTTATTGGTATTTCAGTGATATTTTGCACTTGGTTCAGCCCTAAGACTTAAATAGGAGGCATTAGTGATGCCAACTGTTTATTTTTCTAATATTTTTTAACCATTGTCTTTTGTAGTCACTTAACTTTACTTATAACTATTCTTGATTATACCTGGTTTCCATGAAGTCGAAATGATGGGATCAATTATTGTTACTGTTATTGACTTTCTTTTTTTCAAATTGTTAAATAAAAATTTCATTTATATGTACTTGCGGAACTATGATGCTCTTTGATACTGAAAGCATATATACGAGTTCAACTTTTGAATTCAAGCAGCGATAAGTATATTATGTTCAACCAGCTTTGTTCGAGGCTTCGATGGTCCAGCTATTGCTAATAATTTTAGCATCTAAAAATTATTTACAATTGGCGAATGATCAATTTTTAAAGAAGTAAACGGAATTAATGTTTAATAATTTGCAGAAGCTAACAATTTAATGTAGCGATAAATAAAGACTCGCAAATTTTAAATTATGTTTTCAAGTAGAAAATTAGCGCTTATCTTACCGAAGTAAATATTATAATAGCGTAAGCGCAATTTATCATTCCTGTAAATATTAAGCAATGATAGAGAGAAGTTATTAATGAAAACATCCCATTAAGAATAATCATTTTGCCTAGCGCAGTGAGTTTTTAACTAAATTTTACGAAATATTTAAAATATAGCATAAAATAATCTCGTTACACTAAATCCTATATCACACCTATTCTTCGCCTTGTTATGTCATGCACTATATTTGTAATAGTAACGTGCTGTGATATGTTCTTCTTTGCATGCTTATTCTGAAATGTAACCACGTATATCATCTTATAAGCGTGATGTCATGCTTCATTCCTACTTTTACACAGTACGTGTCGTCTGAGAATTAATCTTTATGACCAAAGGCAAAACATTTTATTGTCTTCTGTTGTAGTGCCATTCCTACCTCGAAACTATTCCAAATTATTAATGAGGGGCTAACGGTTAAATAAATAATATCATGAGACCAAATAACTGAAACTATCTCGATCCTGCTCTGCTCCTTGGGTCGTCATGAATTAGGAAATCTTTTTTTTAACTACTTTAATTACGATTATTCTAAATAATTCTACTTTGATTTAGACTTGATTAATTAGGGCTACTTATATCAAGGAAAATGTAATAGTGATATCTCTAATTTGCTCTATTTCGACTACTGCACGTCTTCAATGACATATCTCGCGTTTATATAAGAACTTATCGTTAAGTTGCCGTCACATTGTCGATTTATGGTGCGAATTTTTCGCCTCTGTTCAAAAGTTTTCCTCTTTCATGCCCTTGATTGTTGTATCGCCTGTGAATATATTTCGATGTAGATTTAATTATATCGAGTACTTGAGTTGAGATACCAACGTAAGCTTGCTCCAAAAGTAACCTTCACATCCAAAGACGTTTCAATTTTAAGTTATTTTATTAAGACCCTAAGCCATAGCTACCGAGAAGTAAACACTGTTATGATTGATTTTTCCCGCGTCATTATAGGTATCAAGGCAACCAATATTTAATCTTAAAAAATGTTATAATTTGCATTTTTTAAACCTGAAATTAAAATTATTCATTGCTATAAAATTATTATTCATTAAATATCTTATTAAAATTATTCGTATTGTGTGCATGATATCTAACTTTATGTTCTCGTTACTACAGCGACTAATCGGCAGCAAATGCCTTATTATAAATATCTTTTATTATATAAATAAATTAACTGTAATCATTTGCTTAATTTTAGCATATGTTTATTCTTGAAGGTGAATTTGGAAGACAAACATGAAGAATGTTCATGTTAACTGGACGCTGTGTTTCCTTGTGCTCATATATTTGCAGGACCAGCGCATGGTATCTGACAATGATCTTCTTTAGTTACGAAGAAGAAAATATTTAAATGCTCTGATGTAAATTATTAAATAAGGGTTTCAAGGTGTGGCGTGTCAGTAGAGGAAACAAAACGAAGAATTTTCTCACCTTCTTTGGAGATGGCCATTGTCAAATGGATTTTTAAATTAAAACCAACGAAAATATTTATTCAGTATTATTCAGTAACGAATGAAAATCTTTATTTGAGATATTACATTAACTTTCCGTACAAATTTCAAGTCTCTGCCGAAAATTTACTAATACTTTCACTACTCATATGTAGTGAAGTCTTTTTTTCTAATACTTTCACTACTCATATGAACCTATCTGTTATATCAATTTGACATGATCTGCGACCTTCATCTCTGACAACCGATGAAGTAATCTCGTAATAAAAATAATCTCCTTAATGACGTTAGTGCAAATAATCGAATACTAACATCAGATCAGTTCTGGAAAGTAGGGATTCCATGATAAGCATTACGATGACTCTAGATTTCCCGTTTGTCAACTTATGTCAGAGTTTCGTAAACATCCTAGTGAATTTAAATATGCAAATCTAGCTTCCTACTAAACATCAAAATAAAAATGAGTTTAAAGATTCAAATCTCGCCTCTTACTTAATTCTTGTGCATGTTATCTTCACTGAACCGACCAACATATCTTCTATTTACGTGTCGGCGTTGCTGTCCGTTGTTTGCACTTGTTAAGATCCTCTATATATACTTCCTTCTGGTAGACAATGTTGAACCCAAGGGAATATTTACCATGTTTGCATTTGTTGAGGCGGCAATCATCTCTCTTCAGACGGTATGTACAATTTATTAGTACTCTTAGTATAGTAGTTGCTCTTTAGCTCGTCTCGAGAATCTATTAGTCGTGGTTGTAGAGCATTTTTCATTCATTATATGTGCGTTGTATGAGACCTTGTCTTGATCAATGCGTCATTCTCTGATGAATAGTTATTTTTAGCCTGTAGCTCCTCCAACGTTTTTTTTTATTATAGTTTCAAGAACCGTACTGAGCAAAATGATAAATTTACTTAAAATTTCCGAACATAGATTAAAATTAATTCTATTCGTATGTTCTCTGAATTTTCAAATATTGAACAAGAGTTATTATTACTTTCCAGCTAATATTCATCCAATTGCGAGTTCTATATACTTACTCACATCATAAACTTGTGTCTATTAAGGCATTAATTAGGTTTCAAATAAATCATAATTTGTCTACTAACTTCAATATTAATATTTTTTTGCGAAAACTTCATGCTTAAAATTAATTCGTGTTTTTTTTGCAGACTATGAATATTTTAATGATCATGAATGCTTTGAAGACTTATTGATGAAAACTTTCATCGACAATTTTCACGAAAATTTTGAGCTGCCTTAATTCAATAATAATAATTTTTATATTATTATCACTTGGTTCTGTAAAGGGATCAGAATTTAAGAGAAACATTTCACTGATATTGAATTCGAAGGACGGACCTTCAAGCTAGTGAAGTTTCCAAAGACTTGCAGTTTTCATGATTGTTGGAATTTTGGAACTTTTTAATCCAGAGGTATAAGTGGTTAGCTTCATCTTATATCTTCTATGATATTTATGCCGCTTTGGTGCTGAATGAAAGTGTGAATTCAACATGAGAGAAGTGAATGTGGATTGAACCAAGGGGAAAATTCGAGGGCTCGCGTGTTCACCATTTTTTAATATGCTTATAATGTAAAAAAACTAGCTGGTGGACCAATGTTGACGATAGTTCGATTACTGTAATACATAAATAAATTCGGGTGCAATAATACGATAGTCATCCTTCAAACTGAACTACAGCTGTTTCTTCAATTAAATCTACCGTCATAAATCTACCGTCATTAAATCTATCTCGGAGAAAGCTTCAAAAATTTTCGCTGTCTTTTCTAAAATATTATCGCGTTGCCTTCACTACGAAACATAATCATGAATAATAATGAACAAGTGCACTTTGAAGTGAACAGTGAAGAGCCCGTCCCGTGTTGCGCTCCATCTACGTACATATGAAATGAATGTTTTTGTCTCTACAAATGTCGAATTCTTCTGCTAATGGCGTCACATCCGTTAATTATAACTACACTTAGTATTGCGTCTTTAGAATCTCATATGGAAAATATTGTTCTCGTTTCATTGTTGTCTGAAAGTGCCATTAATATTGATAAGTGATGAGTATTACTTATATAATGAAAATGTCTGTTGATGATTCTACGTACCTGTAAAAAACCATAGCCTCTATTGTTAAATCTGGCAACTTGACGAGAGTTCGTTTATGGAGTGCAAAAAGAAATAATTTTATTCATATTAGAATATTGCTTGTAAAGTCACCAAATGCTTCTAAATCAAATGCCGGAGATTTTAGTAACTTGGGATGCAGCAGCTTTTTTATAAAATATTCATGCAAAGTGTGTTCACCAAAATTTGTCAAAATTAGTTCAGGTGAACATTGTTCAAAGGCTTGCCGGGTGGTGTGGTGAGAGCCTTCACACCAAAACGAACGTTCATCAAACTGGGAACAAATTAATAGGAACATGCATATTGTTGCGATTTAATTGTTCTCTATACAGCGTCCTGATTTAAAGAGAAACCTATACAGGAGAGGTGTCTACAGGATTCTACAGTATTTATTCCTCAAGATCTCATTCTCTACCAAATATATCAATTAAAAAGGAATTAATGCCATCATAGCTGCACTTTCAAATTTTAAAATCATCATCTTCTAGTGCTAGATAATACAGGTGTACTTTGATGAATAAAGTCTGAATGTTACTGTCTCAGGACGGTGAAATGAAAAAGCGTAGATGAAATGGCGTAAGTTTATGTTTTAATTTGTATTCGAATGCGTCAGTTATCGTTTATCCTCGGCAATTTGTACAAGGCTGTTCGCAATCGCCTGCTGCTCGCTGTCGAGTGGTGATTGAGGTGAAAAATGTTCTACTGTGTGGAAGATTTTTAAATAGTGTTTCATTCCTCTCTTGTGATCTCTAAAATATACTAGAATCTTGAAATATTCTCTTCTTGTTGAGAGTAAACAAAGATTAGAAATTGAACGTGTTTTCCTATCCGTCATACACCGAATATTAATATACGCAGAGCCATAATTTTTAATCATTGGAGCGAGTAATATTTTTTCAATAAATTTTGTCGAGCTTTCTATTATTCTAAGCCTATTATAGCGATTAACCTACAAATTCAACTTTTATATTATTAAAGAAATTGCTTATAAAAATAATTAAATTACCGAACGATACGCGGCAACGAGATGTAGTCAGCAGTGTCTTGTGATTCAAGCCACTGGCAGGAAATTTTGTCCGACATGTTTATATATTTGTTTAACTTCGACAACCCAACACTAGCATGGAAGCACCGCAGTGTAGGGATGCTGTACGCGGTGCGCATTTATTCACTTAATTTATAC